CACCCCACAGAGATGGGAGCATCGCCACTGCGGTTGGAGTAGTTAACAACAGCGTTGAAGGACTGATTCACCCACTGCCAGAACACCACCGTCGGGGTCTTCCTGAGGGAGAAAAGACGCTTACTTCTGCCCCCTCTACGGTGTCCCTCATCCTCCAACCCTGATAAGGAAACCCGAGGTTATTCCCAAACCCTCAGGAGGGACCCAGCTGATGACCCTAGAACATGCCCTGGTGAGCCCCGCATGACCCTCCCCACTTGCCCCGTTTATGCAGCCATACACACTGTGTCTGGCCTGGGAGGAACCTCGGGGCTGAGTTCTGAGAGGTGTAGGGGATTCTAACACAAGCTCTCACCCACCCACTATTTTCTGCCCAGCGGGCCTCACCTAGTCATCGAGCTACACTCTAGCTTAGAGTGCTCAGGGAGAGGGCACATGGGACAGGACCTGCCTGTAGAAGGTGAGCATGCAGCCAGTGATGGTCATGTTCATGGGCACCTGCGCTGACATACGGCCAATCAGGACCATCTTCTCCCCTGTGTCCGGATGGAAGGCAGAGTCGTATGCATACTTGGCCCTCCACAGCTGGTCCTCGGTGAGCCCAGGTGTCACCACGCCAGCCCTGCAGAGAATGGCAGGGAAGAGACAGGTAATTCTAGGCGGCAGATCTGCCCCTGCAAGCCCTGACCAGGGGAAGTCCGGACAGAGGACCAGGAACTTTGGCCCCCAATCTCAGAATAAAGGAGCTCCTTATCTCGGGGGGGGCGGGTGAGGGGAGAACCACATCTTCCCAGAAGAGTAGGCGGGTTCCTATTTCTATTTTCCTTGTAGCCACACAAAGAGGGGCGCCCTTCTGTTTCTGCCTCAAAGCTTGGTCATGGGTAATGATGGTTCCCAATGGGTTGCAATGGCTAGGGGCATCACAAGGGCTTTTCCTCCTGGAGACAAGGGGGATGCTCTCCTTCTCCTTGGGCTCAACTTTGAGACCATCTGTTCTTGCAGAGCGTGGCCTAGCAGTGGGACACCCCCGTTTAGAGAGTTTGTGAAGTGGACAGCAGTCCCCTGCCCACATATATCCATGCCACCTCCCCAACCCAAACACCCTAAAATTCTCTGGATTAAAACTCTGTGCCATAGTTACCTGTGATTCCAGCACGTAAGGCCAGGGAATAAGGGGGTTGAAGAGTGGGACAGGGTCACTTTCAAGTTTGGGGAGATAGATGCAAAGGGTACTGTATTCAAGGCAGGGAATGAGGCCCTGGGATACAGGGTCAGATGGGGTAGCGGCCTACCTGTAGTTCTGCACGATGTTCCGGGAAGCTTCCAGCTGTGCTCCGGACAGCAGCAGATTTCGGGGGTCAGTAACAGTGAAGAAGTGCCGGGCTCTGCCCAGGAAAGTGCTTTGGTCCCAGCGAGGTTCCTGAATATTGATATCCAAGGGCAACTCACCCATTTTCTGCAGGGCAAAGATGAGAGTCTGAGGACTCTGAGGAGGGGGTCCAAGAGTTCTGCCTGTGGGAACCTCTGGTGGCCCTGCCCTTGTCTCTGGGCCTCTCACCAATCCCTTCCAGAGCTCAAGGTGACTCCAGATAGGTAAGCAAGGGTTGGGGGGAGGAGCCGTTTTCCAGACAATGTTCTGGCTCAGAGACCTAGAGCCATGGGAGGAGGGGGCAGGGGAAAACAGAACCAGAAAAACAGATCTCCTTTGCACTCTGGCCTGGTGCAGATTTTCATCAGTGAGGATTTACCTGTGTGTGGTTGATGCAAGAGCAGCAATTAATCCTGGGCGGCTACTCTCGTGCTCTCTATGCACAAAATTGCATATCATATGCATTATGTATGTACATGTCAGCTGTAGGCCCCAGCTGCCTTGAGACCTAGCTGCAAACCCCCAAGGCTGTTTGGGTAGATGGCATAAGCCATCCCATGCCCCAGCCCCTGATTGGAGGAGAGCAAGGGCTCACTGGCCACCCCAGGGCTTATCTATGCCAGATCTCAAGTAAGGGACTCTGATGCCTGTCAGGCATGCGTGCTAAGGGGCATGCACAAATCTCTTCAGGGGCATTTTCCTCAACCCACTCTGAATGGCCCAAGGACCTCCTTGTTCCCCAGCTGGGCAGGGCTGGCACAGACACCCATCCACCTCTCCCCAGGCCACCTATGGCCAGAAAGGAGGAGTCAGTAAGCGCCCTCTCCACCCGGTACGGAGAGGAAAGCCCGAAGCAGCCATCTGGCTGTGTTAGGCAAAATCCTACAATATGACTAATCCTCTCCAACCATACTTCCTCCCTCCCTGGAAGACACACCCTCCCCTCTCTCACACACTCACAGGAACATACCCACACACAAGGATACATACACGCCCTACACAGACATACAAACAGTGGACACGCCCTGCATACACTAGCCCACAAAGACCGTTACTTGCACACTCACACATACACACACAACCCATACCCATCAACTGCAGACACCTGAATGTGTAACCACATAAGGCCCCACCCTGACATCCCTCGCCGCAACCAAGCTCCCCTTGCGCCCCAAGAACTTCCCTAGAACCGAATATACTGAATCCGGAGAGGACAGAGAGCACACTTCAAGGCAGGCTTTCCTCCCTCTTAGCCCTCAATCCCCTACTCCCCTGACCGCTGAACCCCGCCCTGGACCGCGGGCACTCACGCTTTCCCAAGCTCCGGGGCTTCTGGCCTCTGCAGCTCCCAGACCCGCCTTCCTCCAGGCGCGGCGCGCGGGCTCCTGCCCTCCCACCCATCACGCGTAACGTCACGCGTGACGCTGACACGCCGGAGGGGCGGGGGCTCCTCCCCACCCGCCTCGCGCGCGTTCGCCGGGCGTGCCCAGGGATTGGCAGAGCCTGGGGGCGGTGGGTGCCATTTGGGGCGACGCCCCCAGCCCGGGCTCCAGGGACCTGGCCCAAACGCCGCCTCCCAGAGCCAATCGGGGCTCGGGGAAGCAGTTCCGGCCAGTCCCCAGCCAGAGAAAGAGCAGAGGAACCGCGGTGCTGCGGCCCCCTTTGCTCGCAGTCCCCTAGCTGGCCTCGCGGGGGCACCCGGCCTCGGCAGCAACGGGTCTAGGTGCCCAGGGCGAAGGCTCGCAGCGCGCAGGACGAAGGCTGGCTGCGTGGAGGGACCGTCCTCTGATGGTGCGCCCGGAGGGTCTCGGATTACCGCCCGGCTTGTTTACTAGATGGCCGCCTTGTTAGTGGCCTCTGCCTCCTTGGCCCCCTGGGCTCCTACCCCAGTTCCCACAAGCTCTTGTCACAGCACTTCGGCGTTCGCAGCCCTTTACAGTGTCCCTCCTGCCTGTGCCCCCTCTGTGTCCCCACCCTTTCCTCCTCCAGCCCCCTCCTTACCCGCCTCTTGTAATCCCTAGCTCCATTGGGTCCCCAGTTTCCTTCTGGCCTCAATCCCTACACCTGCACCACAGACCTTAGCCCTAGTCCCTGCCCTACGATGTGTAGGGGCAGAAGGCTCAAGGTGCCTGTCTGCATCAAGCAAGTGGATCAGAAACATTCTTCCTCCCCCTAGTGTCCTGGAACCAGCGGCTCCACCCTGTGCCCTTTCCAGAACTGAGTGGCCAAAGAGACACTTAGTGACACAGAAGGAGGATGCATGTTAAAGAAGGCAACACACACACACACACACACACACACACACACACTTCACAACTCACCCGGTCACCTTAGAGAGCACGCCTGCCTCACACCCAGGCGCCGGTCCACGCTCCTGCCCACCGAATGCTTACGCCCCCTCTGCCCAGGTAGCATTCCCTCACTGAGGCCTCAGGGGGTGACGCAGAGGGGTGGCAATTCCAAGTGCCCTAGTATCTGGCTCGGCCTGGAGAAGACGCGGTTCTGGGCTCCCCTGCGCTGAACCGGTAGCGGGAGGGGACGAGGCGTGACCCAAACCCTAAGTTCGTGGGGGGCGGGGTGGGGCATCAGAACTCGAACTGCAGCGGGCAGCACTTAGCGGCCTCAGCCCAGGTGACAAACGGCAGTCCGGCGCGCTCAAGGGAGGGGACGGAGGCAGTGACTGGCGGACCTCGCAGCCAATGGGAGCCCGCGGCTACGCAGGCCGGCCCTCTTCCAGCAGCCGGGGCGGAGCGTGGGCGAGGCTCCCCCCGCCCGCGGCGAGCGCTCGCGCCCGCCGGAGCTGCTGCCGCACCAGCAAGCAGGTGAGGGGAGCCAAGCTCGAGAGGTGGGGGCCGAGAGGACCGACCCGAGGGTGGGATGCTGCGTGCGGAGTCCAAGAGCTGCTCTGAGGGGCTTGGCTCCGGGTTGTGTGCGCGCTGTGTGGGACTGTAGCCAGCAGGTCCTCCGCCAAAGCCTGGGAGAGGTTCAGGCAACCTCTTTAGACGGGAGAGGAGGGGGGACGGAGGGGACAGCAGCCTGGGACCAGGGGATCTCTGGGACCCTTGGCTGCAGCTGTCCCAGGTTCTGAAGCCCTGCCCTAGAGATCCGAGCCGCCTACCCACATACGCAAGGAGAGGCGTGCAGGGAATTGTCCCGGCCCCAATTTCTCTTACACCATTTGAAGCCCTATGGCCCGCAAGAATCCATCTCCACTATACCCAGGACTGGACACTGGGGTAGATGACTCGGCTGAGAGCCGGAGTGAAGGGTGAAGGAGAGGCTCCCACTGGCCTTGTATAAACGATTCCGAAAGTCCACGATGGTGCCTGGACTGGGCCAGGGGTGGGAGAGGTGAGGGGCCTAAGGCAAGGGAGGACAGGGTTTCAAATCAGGGCGGGGGTGGAAGTCCTGGGGGGCAGCAGGGCAGCATTTACACCCTTGTCCCAACCCCTGCTCTCCATCCACAGGCCCGGAGCGCACACTCCTGAGAATCTGCAGAGGTGGGGGCTCCCAGTCACTGAGACCCCAGTTCCGCACAGAAGGCTCATGGAGCCCGGAGCACGCGGGGCCCTTTTCGCAAGGGCTAGCAGGTTCCTTCTGGACTTGTAGGGCGCCGCCCCAGGCTAGCTCGATGGCGCAGGGTTTTGCGGTGGGCTTCGACCCACTGGGCCTCAGACAACTCAGCTCGGGCTCTCTGAGCTCCCTCTCCTCCCGCGGCCACCTGGGCAGCGACTCGGGCTCCGCAATGCGATACCTGCTGAAGAAGCAGCAGCGGCTGCTGAACGGCCCCCCCCGCGGAATCCGAGCCTCCTCACCCATGGGCCGCGTCATCCTCATCAACTCCCCCATCGAAGGTGGGGGCGGGGCCCAGCTTAGGCCTGGCGCTAAGGGTGGGGGTAGGGCCAGCTGGGAGGAGGAACTTGAGAGATGGGAGTCTTGGGGCTGTGGGGCATGGAGGGCCCCTGTTTTACCATAGCTCCCCCTCATCAGCCCTTTCCTCCTGTTCAGGCCAATGCTTTAGGGTTGCAGGACTGTAGAGAGCTCGGAGGTGGGAGATAGGAGTATGGAGGCAGGGAGAGGTGTGTGTGATATGCTAGCCCCCAAGCCAAGCAAGTCAGGGTATCCAATTGGCTTCTCCATCCTATGGACTCTGCCTTTCTCCATTCCCTTTGTGTCTGCCCTGCTGGTTGGGGGGAGCAGGATGGAGAAGGATATACTCCATCAACCAACCCGTTGTGTGACCAGCTCTGTGCTGGGCTGTGAAGAGTCAGTGCCCAGTTGGGGAGACAGAATTAAAGCCTTCAGGTGCAGGGGTGCCTGGCTCAGGTCATGAGACAAACCCCACACTGGGTGTAGAGATTACTTACAATAAGTAAATAAATATATTTTTTAAAGATTTTATTTATGTGAAAGAGAGAGCATGAGAGGGGGAGGGTCAGAGGGAGAAGCAGACTCCCCACCGAGCAGGGAGCCCGATGTGGGACTCGATCCCGGGACCCCAGGATCATGACCTGAGCCAAAGGCAGTTGCCCAACCAACTGAGCCACCCAGGCGCCCCTAAATAAATATTTTTTTAAAAAAGGTTTCAGATGCAGAAAAAAGGAAAGAGGTAGAGTAGCAAATGTTCCAAAGAGGGGGGGAAAGAAGGAGGGTTGAGGGTCAGGAAGGGAGCCCCAGGCCTGGGCCCTGAAGGAGGGGGCTACCTGATCTTATATAGTTGTTTAATGCTGTTACATTGCACACCTGTTCTATACCAGCCCTGGTTAGGTCCTGCAGGGGCCTGGAGAAAAAGGAGGGTCAATCTTCATCGTCCAGAAACTTACAGTGTAGTAGCGCTTCGAGACAGAGCAATGAGAACAGCTGGTGCTGGGGTGGAGGTATCCCAGACAAGGCTGGAAGTGGAAACCAAGAACACAGGGTGGGGGGGGGGGGGGAGCGCAATTAGGAGACAGCTTGGCGGCAGTGACAGGTGTGAGGCGACAAAGAGCCAGGGAGCAAGGCAGGACCTTGAGTGCCAGTGGGGGGCGGGGGGAGTGGGCGCCCCCCCTGGGGCTGGGCTTTCTGTGGGCCAGATGCCATAAATATCTCCAGTTCCCATGCTGTTTCTCAGCCAGCAGAACTCCCCTGGCTGGATCCCAGAGTGGACTTTTCAGACCCTGCTCCTCCCCTCTGACCCAGCTGGGCATCTCAGGTCCCCTCCCCAGGCCGCTGGGTTGCTCAGGGAGCAGGCTTTCCTGAACCAGTGGCCCAGCATGCTCACTCCCATCATCTACCATGCTGGGTCTCCCCCCAGGTGAGCAGCAGGGCACTGCTGAGAGTCACCACTGTCATTCAGGTCATGAAGCAGAAGTCCTCAGAGGAGCTAGGAGACATGGTAGAGGATAGGGAAGGCACTGGGGCATGGCCCTTTTGGGTCCCATTGTATTAAAAGAACTTATACGTCCCCCTCACACAGCCACAGAGACCATGCCCCAGCTATGATGCGACGGCTCTGTACACTCTCCCTCTGAAGATCCTCTTGCAGAAGAAGTTCCAGGATTGCTCTGTCCCGCTGCTTCGCCCTAGAGCCCTAGTGCAGCCAGGGGAGCAGCATCTCCTAGCAAGGGGAGGCCCAGGGCATGGCTTCCACCAGCTGGCCTCTACCCTGTCTGGGCTGGGAGCCTCTGAGCCCAGAATCTTCCCCTCTGCCTGAGCACAAACATCTCCCCACTTGCCGCATCCTGGAACCTCTCCCCCTTGTTACTATTTAGACCATTCCAGAGGCCTAAAGGAACTGATAAGGGAGACCCAGTGGGGAGGGAGAAACTGGGACCCACATCACCCCCATGACTTCCCACCAGCTCCTGAAACTCAGCTGGTCCCAGAGAAAATGTCTTCTCTTATCCAAACCAGACCTTCCTCCTCACTCTCCTTCATCCATTTATTCTTTTACTTATTCAAAAAATCCTTGCCAGATATCACGTGCTGTGCGACATACTGGAGATATATTGGCAGAAAAGAATTACAAAGTCCCTACCATGACTGAACTTACAATCTAGCTAAAGGAGACAGACAATAAATAATATGTGAGTAAGCCAATAATGAGAAAGGATGGTAAGAATCCTGGAGGTACTAATTTGGATGGTACAATAGAGTAGTGGTTCGCACACGTGGGAATACATCAGAATTGCCTGGCAGCGGCGGGACTCATAAAAAGACAAGCTGCTGAGTCCCACACCCAGAGCTTCTGATTCAGGACATCTGCAGCGAAGCCCAAGAATAACATTTTTTTATAGACTTTTTTTTTTTAAGATTTTATTTTTGAGTAATCTCTACACCCAATGTGGGGCTCAAACTCACAACCCTGAAATCAAGAGTCATATGCTCTACCGACTGAGCCAGCCAGGTGCCCCAAGAATACACTTTTTTCGAAAAAGATTTATTTATTTGAGAGAGAGCAGGGGGAGGGGCAGAGGGAGAGGGACAAGCAGACTCCACGCTGAGCTCAGAGCCCGCTGCAGGACTCCATCCCAGGACCCCAAGATCATGACCTGAGCCGAAATCAAGAGTCAGTTGCTTAACCAACTGAGCCACCCAGGCGCCCCGAGAATACACATTTTTAATAAGTTCCTGAGTGTTGCTGCACGGGTGGTCTGGGGGGCACACTTTGAGAACCACTCTAATAGAGGCCACCTGGGAAGAGGGAAGGGACTTCAGGGAGGGTAGTCCAGGAAGGCTTCTGAGAGAAAGTGGCGTCTGAGCCAGGAGGGACTGCAGATTGGGAGCTGGCTTTATGAAGGTCTGGGCAAGAGTATCACAGATTGAGGGAACACTGAAATGATTAGCCCGTGAGAGGAAAGGGAGAGAGGTCAGTGTGGCCAAAGCTCAGTGAGGCTGGGATGGCGGTGAGAGGCGAAGGGAGAGAGATGGGCAGAGGAAAGCCCACGGAGGGTCTTACTGGGCATAGGGGACTGTGGAGTTCCTTCTAGAAGAAGGAGCAGGCACTGAAGTGTTTAATAAGCAGGCATGATCTACTGTAAAAGCTGACTCTGGCCACTGTGTAAAGAATGGCCTAAAGGAGGCAAGAATGGAAGTGGAGAGACAGTGAGGAGGCTGTGAGCTTCTGGAGGGGGAGGTTGGTGGCCCGGGCTAGGGCAGTAGAGGTAGAAAAGTTTCCATCCTCAGAGGCCCCAAGCTCCTATGCTCAAAACCCCAGATCGGCATCTCCCTGGCCCAGGGCCCTAGGAAGGCCCCAGGGAAGGACTGAGAAATAAGAGGCTTGGGGGACAGGAGAGCAACAGACTCGTTGGCTGGGTTGAGATGTGTACAGACAGAATCAGCCAGGAAGCCTCAGGATGTCCCACAACTCTGTCCTGCTCCATCCCTACTCACAGGCTGCCCTTGGAGATTTCTTCCTGAGCTGCTCTGGTCATGCACTGTAACCTGATTTCTCTTAGATCAAACAGAAGTGTGTGTGTGTGTGTGTGTGAGAGAGAGAGAGAGAGAGAGAGAGAGAGAGAGATTTCTCCCTCTCAAATATCTCTGGAGTAAGCCTTGTCCAAGAAGAAATCTCACCTTCTCACCTGGGACCCAGCTTCCCTCTCCAGTCTTCTTAACTTTTCTAACCAAAGGCCTTCTCAAGGACCCGTCTCAGAGCCTTGCTCACTCTCTCCCCGTCCTCATCAGTGCCCTTCCTATCTGCTCCAACCCATTGAAATTCCACCCATCTTGTCCTCCCAAACACCTTCCCTATCGGCTGCAGCTCCTAGGGACCCTGCTTCTCTGACTTTCCCCAGCACTGATGGAGAGGACCACTCTGGGCTCTGGGCATATACTGTAGCAGGGTGGTGTTTGGGGTTTTCTCTCCTCATATAGTCAAGTAGCTCCTAGAGCCCTTACCTCCAGAATCACAGAGTCTAAGAGATAGAAGGGGCCTCAGAGATCCTTCCACAATATCCCAGACAGGGATTTATCAAGTGCCGGCTTGTATGCCACCAAAGATGGGGAACTCACTATCTCTCCCGGAAACCTCATTCCATTGTCCGACGGCTGAGGGTTTTAGAAAGTTTTTCCTTACTAAATTGGCCTCCATCTAACTCCACTATGTGGGCTTGGTTCTGCCCTCTGGGTTACACAGACAAGAACATCTAATGCCTTTCACAGAATAGCTCTTTGACTGTTTGAAGATAGAGCGAGCATACTCCTTTCTGCTCAAGCTGAAGAGCCCAAACTTGCTCAACTCTGCCCTATAGAATGGAATCTTGAAACTATTTTCTATCCATCTGACCCTCAGAGTGGCAGGGTTTTTAGGAATTTGTCCTATCCCAGGCCTGTGGGCATGAGAAGCTTAGTAAGTATTAGAAACACACACACACACACACACACACACCCCTATATGATAAGGGAAGGAGAACAACATCTTGTAATGTGGAGTGCTGCCCTGCCTGTTCCCATACTCTCTTGCTGACCCATACTCTCTTGCTGACCCATACTCTCAAAATCCCCAACAGGGAACTCAGAAATCGGCTGCCCTTAGGCCATAGGGCCTTAGGTATATGTGCCGAGCAACCTAACCCAAACTGGGAAACCCAGGGGCCTTCTGTGCCCAGAATGGACATGGGAGTCATGCCTGTGTCCCTCCCCACCCCCACCCCCACACAGCCAACAGTGATGAAAGCGACATCATCCATGCTGTCCGGGTGGAGAAGAGCCCAGCCGGAAGACTGGGTTTCAGTGTGCGGGGTGGCTCTGAGCATGGCCTGGGCATCTTCGTCAGCAAGGTGGAGGAGGGGAGCAGTGCAGGTGAGCAGGGCCCCCAGGAGTGGGTGCTGGCTTAGGAGATGAGCCCCCAACTTGCTGGGGCTCTGGGGGCCTATTATCAACGATGGCAGGCAAGGGTCCTCAGCTTTGGAGGGCCTGATCCAATGGGGAAATGAGGCCCCCTCCCAGGGTGGAGTGGGCTCATGGACAAGTCCCTAGTCTAATAAGGAATACCCAGACCTCACCTGGGGATCCCCAATCTCGTGGAAGAAGTTTTACCCCAGGGGGCCTTGTGTAGTGGGGAAGGCTTAGCTTTGCCCCAGGGGGCCTTGTCCCAAGGGGCCCATGGCAGCCGCCCCCCTCCCCTGGCGCAGAGCGGGCTGGCCTGTGCGTGGGGGACAAGATCACGGAGGCGAATGGGCTGAGCCTGGAGAGCACCACCATGGGCAGTGCCGTGAAAGTGCTGACGGGCAGCAGCCGCCTGCACATGATGGTGAGGCGCATGGGCCGCGTGCCGGGCATCAAATTCTCCAAGGAGAAGACCACGTGGTGAGAACGCCTGGTCCCAGCCCTGACCTTGCCCTACCCCGTCTACCCCCCCCCCATCTACCCCTTCTAGCCCACGGCAGGAGACACTGAGGGCACAGGGCTCTGCATGAGACTCAGCTATGTATGGCTTCTGCTCTCTCTGTCCCCTTGGCGCTGGAAGCACAGCAATCCTAAGACCTGACATTGAAATGAGAGAAGGCCAGGTCTCTCTCCCAGCTCTCCTCCCAACTCTATCCCAGACGCCGGCGGCCCTGTCCCCAAAGATGCTGCTCCTGGGAGCCTGGGCATAGTAACAGCACCTCTCCCTCAGGGTTCCTATGGGGATTCAAAATGGGTCCTGGCCCAATGGAGCCGCTCCATAAAAAGAGGAGATTGGGGTGGTTTCCCAAATTTGATGAAGTCTACATCCCACAGAAGGTCTCAGGACTGGGGAGTCCCCCAAGGCAACCTCCCCTTACCTGTGCAGTTGTCCGAGATGCTGGGAGGAAAGGGGGTGGGTGGTAGTGGACGGGGCGGCGGGGCCCAGACTGACGGCCCCTTGCTGTTGTCCCAGGGTGGATGTGGTGAATCGGCGGCTGGTAGTGGAGAAGTGTAGCTCGACGCCGTCCGACAGCGGCTCGGAGGACGGGGTGCGGCGCATCGTCCACCTGTACACCACGTCAGATGACTTCTGTCTGGGCTTCAACATCCGCGGGGGCAAGGAGTTTGGCCTGGGCATCTATGTGTCCAAGTGAGGGCTGGGGCCGGGCGTGCGATGGGGACGGGTCAGCAAGTGAGCCTCAGCCAACTACATGTCCAAAGGAGGGCCTAGGTCAGGGGTGGGGTCTGGAGAGGGGTGGGGGCCCCAGGAGGAGGGTCAAGGAGTTTGGCTGGGGCGTCCCTGTATCCGAGGGAAGAGTCTGGTCTAGGGTGAGGGTGGGCAGGCCAGGTGGCCTCTCAGACTGCCTCCTGTCTGACCCCAGAGTGGATCATGGTGGGCTGGCTGAAGAGAATGGCATCAAGGTGGGGGACCAGGTCCTGGCGGCCAACGGTGTCAGGTTCGACGACATCAGCCACAGCCAGGCCGTGGAGGTGCTGAAGGGCCAAACGCACATCATGTTGACTATCAAGGTGGGCAGGACTGTGGGTGTCAGGGAGAGGCCAGACTATAGGAGGAACTTCCCAGACCTCTCTAGAGTTTAATGCCCATTGCCCTACAACTTATGACTTTTCCACAGCCATTTGAGAGGGCAGGCATTGTGCTCATCCCTAGTTCACAGAAGAAAAAACTGAGGCTGAGAGAGGCAGAGTCACTCAGGAACCACGGTCACTTCCTCGGCTGGCTAGTAGTAGGGCCTGCTTCCAGTCCTGCTGCCCAGACACCCAGGGCAGTGCCCCTTCGGATGAGTGACAGAGGTCCAGGGTTGAAAGGAGAAAACGTCCCGCCCCGAGGGTGGGGCGGTAGCTGCGGCTTTGGGCAGGACCTGGGCACAGGGCAAGGGCGGCTAGGCTGAGGCCAGAGATCGGATTTCAGGGGAGGCACCTGCATTCATGATTCATGCGGGTCTCACACTTGCCTGAGGATCAGGTCCTTCTCACTCTGGCTGCAGGGGAGGTGACGGCTCGCTCTCCGCTAGGACCCACTCCCGGCCCCGGCTCCGCTCTCCTCCCTTCCCAACCCTTCACCCCCCTCGTCCTTCAGGGCCTCCTCCACCATTCCCCTGCTTCTGCCCCCTTGATTTCCCATCCCATAATCCCCCCATCCCGTTTCTCCCTTCCCTTCCTCTCGCATGACCCCGAACACCCCTCCTCTCTCCCACTCTGCCCCTCGTTCATTCATTCAACATTTTCGAGTATGTCCTACGTGACAGTGCCTATGCCGGGTGCTGGGGCTACAAGACAGATGAGGTGTCTGCTCCAGGGTGGGGGTGGGGGGGAGACAGACAAACAGGGTGCATGCCGACTGACAAACGCCGTAAGGAAATTAACAGAGAGTTGGGAGGGGTAATTTAGGAAGGCCCTTTTAGCCCCGGGGGTCGGGGCAGGTCTCCCTGGGGAGGTGACACCTGAAGAGGGAGAAGGAGCTAGCCAGGAGGTGAGTGGAAGGAAGAGAATCCAGACAGAAGGAGCAGCAAGTGCAAGGCCCTGAGGTGTAGAGGAATTTGGCAAGTTCCGACATAAAGCCGCCCATTTGTCTCGAGCGCGATGAACTTGGAGGAGAGAGATGGGGTTGAAAAGTTTACTCTTGTCCCGTCCCTCCCCCTTCTCACCTACTCCCCCCTCCCCCCGCCCTCCTGTGCCCGCCACACTCTTCCCAGGAGACTGGCCGGTACCCTGCCTACAAAGAGATGGTTTCTGAGTACTGCTGGCTGGACCGATGTAAGTGGCTCAGGCCCCTGCGTTGGAGGGAAAGGGCTGAGGCCCGAGGGTGCGTGGGAGCCTCTGAGGAATAATGGGGAAGGAGGAGCAACACCTGCTTGGGACTTCCCCACCGCCCAGAGCAATTTCCCCTCTGAAAAGCTGCGGGTTCAGTTCCCAGCTCCCCTTGGCTCTGGAGTCCCGGGGTCAGGAGGCGGGGCAGTGAGTGGAGGAGAAGTGACTTGCCTAAGGTCTCTCAACAAGTCAGTGGCAAGACTGCTGAGCAGCTGGTTCCCCAGAGCCCCCCGCTTCCAGCCTTGGCTGCTAGCTGACACTCACCCACCCCCACACCCAAGGTGGTGTGCGACCCTGGCAGGGCCCTGAAGCCAGTGGCCTTCCCCTGAGATGCCCCTGCCTTCCCCACTGCCTGCAGTGAGCAACGGGGCACTGCGGCAGCTGTCCCCCGCCTCGGAGAGCAGCTCCAGCGGCTCCTCCTATGCCTCCAGCGCCCCCTGCAGCTCGGCCGAGGGCTCCCTGCCCTCCCAGCGCCTGGACGTCGGCCTGGGGCCTGAGGAGCCGTGCAGTCAGGGCCCAGGCTGGGGGCGGGCAGACACAGCCATGCAGACGGAGCCGGACGTGGGCGGCCGCGTGGAGACCTGGTGCAGCGTGAGGCCCACCGTCATCCTCAGGGACACAGCCATCCGCTCCGACGGCCCCCGGCCTGCCCGCCGCCTGGATTCTGTGCTCTCCGAGTCCCCTAAGACTGCTCTGCTGCTGGCCCTGAGCCGACCCCGGCCCCCCATCACGAGGTCCCAGAGCCATCTGACCTTGTGGGGTATGTAGGGAAGGGGCGGCCGATGTTCTCTCCAAAGCTCCGGGTCCAACACCTGCCTCACACCCAGTCCTGGGCCCCAAACCTCCCTTGGCTCTAGGCCTTGACTCGGCCTCCGTTCCAGCCCCATAATGCACTCAGACGCTGCTCTGGGCCCCATTTTAAACTGGCCCTGGGCCCCAAACCTACCCTCAGATCCAGTCCCAGCTCCTGTCGGCTTTGGGCCCCACACCAGCCCTAATCCATCCCCACCACCCTACACACACACACAGACACACACACCCCGGCCCTCTTGGAGGGTCCTCACCGAGCTGGAGCTGTGGGTGGGGGAGAGGTGGAAAGTCAAAGGAAGAAGCCCACCTATCTCCACCCCCACCTCCCCACAAGGCTAGAGGTCCTATCTGCCCCTTACTGGCCCTCCTCTCTGGCCCTCCTCACACCCCTCCCCCTCGGCCTTCCCTCTGCCAACTGCTCTAACCCCCCGGGTGCTCCCTCATGTCTGCAGAGGAGAAGAAGCAGCGGAAGAAGGAGAAGTTGGGGTCCTCCGGGGAAAAGGGGGCCCTGCAGCGCTCCAAGACACTGATGAACCTCTTCTTCAAGGGAGGGCGGCAGGGGTGGCTGGCAGGGCACGGGCACAGAGAGGCCTGGACGCTGGACGGAGGGAGCCCAGCCAAGCCCTGCCCTCGCCTAGACGTGGAGAAAGGTAAGCACCGGCCAATGAGACGGGGAGGAAGGAGGTACAGCCCACTTTGGCATCCAGCGGCTCTGGGTTTAAATCCCACACTGCCTTTTACTGGCTGGGAGGAACCACTTGCCCCCATAAGCCTGTTTCCTCGTGAATAAAGTGAGAGTAATGATACCTGTTTCTTTAGGAATGGTGAGGAATAAGGAGCCTGGGTGGGTGGCTCAGTTGGTTAAGCGACTGCCTTCGGCTCAGGTCATGATCCTGGAGTCCCGGGATCGAGTCCCACATCGGGCTCCCTGCTCAGCGGGGAGTCTGCTCCTCCCTCTGACTCCCCCCTCTCGTGCTCTCTCTATCTATCTCATTCTCTCTCTCAAATAAATGAATAAAATCTTTAAAAAAAAAAGGAATGGTGAGGAATAAGTGAATGGATGTATGTAAATCACTTAAGGACACTGGCATACAGAAGGTACTCAGAAAATGTAGTGGTCATCGTTAAAGTGTCTCATACCCCACTTTACAGAAAGGAAAACTGATAGAGCCACAGCCTAGCAAGGAAGTTGAAGGGCTTGGGTCAGATCTCTGTGCTGGTGCTGAGGTGGGTAGGGCACTCCTCTCCTGGAACATTTGGCTTCACCTCCCCTGGCCAGAGCTCCACAGGCCCTACGCAGTTCTAGCACCATCCCTGAGTAAGGCCAGTTCTAGATCAGGGCCCAAGCAGAAAGACCTGGGCAGGCTTCACTTATGTCAGGGGCTTCCTATGGACCCTCAGAGAGGCCTCTCGTCTCTCAGGTGAGGCTCCAAGACTGGACCAAGAGTGGATGAGTTAAGACTCTCAGGGTTGCACGTAACAGAAACCTAACTCAAATTAGCTTTAAAAAACACTCCTTGGCTCAGCTACTGATTTGAGTGTGTCTAAAGGTTTGAACAATCTCATCAGACATCTGCCCCCTTCGTCTTTAGTTTCCCTTTCCCCTGGGTTGGCTTCATTATCATGCAGGCTTTGCCCACCCAGAGGGAAGATGGCCACTCTCGCTTAGCAACCCAGGGACAGGAGAGCTTCTTCAAGAGTTCCAGCTGAAGTTCCAGGCTCTCACTGGCCCAGCTGGGTCACATGCCCAACAGGTGGCTGTGCCCGGGAAAGGCCAGTGGTGCCTTCCTGGGCCAGCCTGGGTCATGGGCCCACTCTGGAGCCCATGGACTGAGAATGGAGAGCCCCAGGTGAAATTGGGGTGCTGTTTGCAGGGGGAGAGTGGATGTTGGGTAGGCAAAAATGACCAGAGGATGAGGAGCTTGACCCTGCCCCTTCTGGGGGGCCAAGGTGAGAATCCCATGGGAGAGACAATCTCTTCAGCTTAGGCCAGGTCAGCCCCACTTCCTCAACCCACCTCTTTTTTCCACAGGCCCCAGGGCCCTGCTCTCACCTGATGCTCGTTCTATCCCTCTGGCCACTCCTCTCTCTCCTCCAAAGGCTCCTCTTTTTTTCTCTGTCCCCTGAAGGTAGGTGTTCCCCCAAGCTTCGTTCTTGGGGTTCCTCCCTCCATATATTTGCTTCTAAATGAATCTCCACAAGCAGAACTCACACTGCACCCTCTCTTGATCCAAAACCTTCACTGGCTCCCCACTGCCTATGAATGAAGTCCCTAGTTGGGCACGGCCTTACAAGGCCTCCGTGGCCTGGCCTCTTGCCTCTCCGTCCCACCTCCTTCCAGCCTAAACTCTTCATTCCAGCTAGTGATCCAGCCATCCCTGAGCCCTCCCAAGCCCCATGGTCAGACTGGGAGCCAGGGCCTGCAGCTGAGCCTTTCTTCTTCATAGCAGGGGCAGTGGGGCCTGTGCAGAAGTTTGTCACCTGGAGACTGAGACGCGGTAATTCATGCATCTCTTTAGCAAGGCCTGGTTGACAGCAGAGCTGCAGATGGGGTGCATGTTGAGGGGCAGCTAAGGGTCTCTGGGCTAAACTCAGTTGGGGTCATGCATGGGGGATTGGGCGCAAATTGGGGGCAGGGAAAAGAATTGGACTAAGCTTACCAGGAGAGACAGGGCTGCAGACAGATACTGGGGCGCATTTTTGAGGACTGGGTACTCAATGGGGCTCCCAAAGACAGATTTTGGGGAGGTGAGGGAGCCTGTGCCAGGACCCCATTGAGTACTATGACAGTGAATGTTTGGGGGGGCCCAGGGGGGCCCTGGGCTAGGACACCATTAAGGAACAGCCCAGTATAGGGGGTCTGTGTTGGGGGCCAAAGGGTCTGGATTGGAGCCTCCTTGTTGGGCAGATTGCTATGGGAGATGTTGGTGGGGAGATTCTGGGTTAGGCTGGGATTCTGTCAGTGGCACCTAGGCCTCTCAGCTGACCTGTTCTGGGGTCTGACCCCATTGAGAGAAGCCCCTGCCTCCTCCCCTGATGGCTCCTGGCTCCTTCATCATATGCCTTTGCTCCTTCCCTGCAGAGCGGGAGAGGGGCCCGACCCTGCTCTCTGCTAGGTCCAGGAGCCCCTCCAGACAGCTGCCCAACATGGATGAGCAGGTGCAAGCCTGGGAGAGCCAACGGCCCCTTATTCAGGACTTGGCCCGACGGCTGCTGACTGACGACGAGGTGCTGGCAGTCACCCGTCACTGCTCCCGGGTGAGCTTCCAGCCTGCCCCAACTCCAGCACATTGTCACCCAGTCACCCAGCCCCTCATTCATTCAGGCCACTGTCTCTGGTCAGTATCTGGGCTTGAGGCCCTGAGGCCAGAGGTTGGGAAAAGCGGAAGTCACTCCTGTTCCTGTCACACACACACACACACACACACACACACACACTGAGCTCACAGACAGGAGAGGGACATACAATAACTAGAACCTAAACACCCATAGCGGCAAATTGTGTGAAATGCTGTGAAAGAAAAGAATAGGAGAAAATAACCCAAGAGGTACAAATTAGGTGGTGTGGTCTAGGAGGGCCTCCTTGAGGAGATGATGTTTCAGCTAAGGAGAGAAGGAGCCGGACAGGTGATGAGGGGGGCCACATGAGTCTCTGCGGTCACTGCCTGAGCTCTCCTCTAAACCCCAGCCTTCTCCCCGACCCCCTGCGTCAGCCCCCAGGCCCGGCCTCATGCCAGGCCCCTTCCCCTGTTACCTGAGTAAGTAATCCTTTGTCACCCCCCACACCCCCCAAGCCTCCCCCAATGTCTGCACTGTTGTTCTGTTTCCTTCTACTTCAAACAGGAAGTAGGGCTCCAGGGTGGGGCACAAGTTAGATGTGAGGGAGTCCTTGTGGCCTGGATGTTGGGGAGGTTGTGGGAGGCACAGGTCTGGGGTCTGATCCTCCAGAGGGGTCGGAAGGCCCTCTGCTCTCCTCCCGCCTCAGAGCCCCCAGGGTTCCTGTGCTGGGGTCCCCGTGGGGTGCTGGCGTCACTGCACATGTGAGCTCGCATGCAAGGACAAGCTGAGGGGCTCCAGGAAGTCGTTTGTGATCCCCCCATGCCCTCAGCCTGGTCGGGGTGGGGCTGTGTTGTTTGTGTGATGTGTACATTTGTGTGTCTGTGGGGTGCATAGGTTTGTGTCATCTGTGTGTTCGACCTGTGTGTGTCTACATAAGGCATGTGTGTATCACCTGGAGACTGAGGCACAGTGATTCATGCATCCCTTTACCAAGGCCTGGTTGACAGCAGAGCTGCAGATGGGGTGCATGTTGGGGGGCAGCTAAGGGCCTTTGGGCTAAACTCTGTGTCATCATGCTCAACTCTGAGGGCTAAGTGGGGTCCCCGTGAGCTTGCAACTCTAGGCTCTGGCCATTAGGTGGCGCGCTGTGCCCGTTTCTTGGGTCGGCTCCTTTTCCATCAGCCCTCTGTTCCTCCCACCCTGTCCAAGCCGGGACCACCTGGGACGGCACCCCCACAAAACCTGCATACCGGCCAATCCTGACCCCCACCTCACCCGTACCAAGAGATCACACCCTCTGTGGTGGAGCTCTGGCTGGGATGATTGGTAAATCTCCCCTAGTGACTCAGATGTGTGGCCTCAAATCCCAGGCCTCCCTTCCCTCTCCTCTGAGCCATCTCTCCACCGCCACCAGACCAGGCTTTAGAAAGCCCCCCTTGGATCACTTTATACTCCTCAAGCCCTCGTGCAATCTCTTACCTTTGGCGGAACAGAGTACAAGTTTCTTATGCTCACATTCAAGGCCTTCCCTGCTTCGACTCCCCCAGCCACTGACCTCAGCTCTCCCGTAGTCGCCACATCACCACATGGTCATTTTCTGCTGGTCACTGCCCAGGGTTATACAGGCGATGAGCCGCACAACTCTGGGGCACCACTCACACTGGAGTCCCCACCTATGCAGCCTACATGGAGGCCCTTCTTGTACCCCACGGTCAAGCTGAACTTCTGTCTACCCACTATCCCACCCCACCCCTGGAGCACTTTCCTCCCAATATTCATGCTGTTGACTGCATTTATGCCTAAGAGTAAATGTAAACGAAACAAACATACCAAGAGGGGTCAGTGTAAATGTCGCCGCCTCCAAGAAGCCGATTCCAGTCTTCGTGCGCTCCTCTGAGACTCCCTCTGCCCCGCTGCCGGCAGTTTGTCATTCCCTGGGGCACGTGGCTCTCTCTGCCCCTCGTTTCCCACTAGACTGACTTCTGAAGGATCTGGAACAGGGTCTTCTTCATTGTGCCCCCACTGCCCAGTACAGGGCGTGGCACTTAGTAGGTGCTACATGCGGGTTTGCAGCCTTGAAATGTGTACATATGCGACTAATTCTGTGCAATTATAGATCTCTCGCTCCAGACAGAAGGGGGTGTATTTTGGACACGTGTGTGTGTGTGTGTGTGCGTCCCTGTAACTGTGTGTGGTTTAGGGCCTCATAGTTTATATTTTATTTCCCGATATTTACGAATGTCTCACTCTGGCCACCAGAGCTTGCTGTGTCTCTGTGTCTATTCCTGTCCAGGATGGGGTGTGTGTGTTTGTGTGTGTGTGTGTGTGTATCCCTGAATTACCATGTGATTGTATGTATCTCCATTTCACCACCAGGGGTCGGTGTGCTATCCAAATAGGGTGGCTCCCAGTGTTCAGTTTACCAGTTTGTCGGCGTGGGTGGGGTGTGGCTGGTGGCATCTGGGCAGTGCCAGGCAGAAGGGCCTCCACGCCCCTGGGGACTGACTGGAGAGGTTTCTGTCGAGCCACCCCTTCCCCAAAGTCCCCCATTCCAGCGCTGAACAAAGCCTAATTGGTAGGTCTCTGTGCAGACATATGCTGGCCCCGCCAGGCCCACAGCCTAGCGTTTGGCTCCAATTCCTTCCTTCTGCCTGGGAGGTGGGGGCGGGGAGGAAAGTCGGCTCCCTGCACACCCTTTTCCGGCACCAGAGCACGCAAGAGCCAGACTTCTCAGGTTCCAATCCCTCTTCACACTTCCTTATCTGTGTGGCCTTGGCCAAAGTCCTTCTCTCTGAGCCTCAGTTTCCTCATTTGTAAAACGAGAATAATGCACGTCATCGCTCAGGGTTGCTAAACGAGAGACCATCCGTAAAAGGCTTACAGACGCTGCTACCGGGCTGTTACAGGTCTGTTACGAAAACTGCAGGCTTCCCCCTAGTCACTAACTTCCACCCATCCCGGGGACAGCCTGGGGATGCGGAGAAGCTTTCCTAAACGTGGTGTTTGCGGGCAACCGCGCATGCCCAAGCAGCCCCCCGCCCCCAGCTCTGGATGTCCTCGCCGCTGTGTGACCCGTGGCGCCTCTCTCCGCAGTACGTGCACGAGGGCGGCGTGGAGGACCTCGTCAGGCCCCTGCTGGCCATTCTGGACAGGCCCGCGAAGCTGCTGCTACTGAGGGACATCAGGTGGGGTGGGGGCTGTGGGGAGGGCTTGGGGGGCAGAAAGGGGACCTCTGAGAACTCTCCCCCACTGTCACCCCCAGAACTGTTCCCCTGCCCACCCCCTATCTCTCGCCCTCCCCCAGGAGCGTGGTGGCCCCCACCGACCTCGGCCGCTTCGACAGCATGGTGACGCCCATGGAGCTGGAGGCTTTTGAGGCCCTTAGGAGCCGGGCAGGTCAGCAGCTGGGGGTAGGACTGTGTAGATCCTGAGCCCCAGGTGGGGATGGGAATGGGGCCTCCCGGGGGAGAGGGGGCAGAGATGGCCTTCAGCTGGGTCCATCAGGGAGCCCGGCAGGGGCCCCGCCTCTGACGGGATCTCCTCTCCCAGTAGTACGGCCTCCTGCCTTGCGACCAGCCCGGCAGGACACACCACCCAAGCGTCACCTCGTCACGCCTGTGCCTGGTCAGTCAGAGTCCCGGAGCCGGGGGAGGGGCCACACTGGGGAAGGGAGAACGGGCCCTCCGTCCCTGCCCCCGACACAGGGTGTCATGGCTTCAGAAGGCCGGCTGGTTCCCTGAAGGAAATCCTTGTCCACCGGAGCCACATTTATCACATCCACTCACCAGTCGTAGTATTATTTACTTAATAATTGGTTTTTAAACCCACTCACTTTTTAAATCTACTCTCATTCTATGCAATAATCTCTGAGAAATTACCAGTTTGGTGTGCGAGTCATATTTTTTCTAAGACACGTATTGCCATAGAAAACTTTAAAGTTCTGTGTCACCTTGGAACCCAGGTAGAGTCGCTCACGGCGGGCACAGCCGCCAGAGGGCCTGAGCAAACCCAAGCTTGGGTCTCATGGGCCCTGCACCGACAAAGGCAACGACTGGTGAGGAGGGGCAGCCTGACCTTGGCCCCCTTCCCCAGACAGACGTGGAGGTTTCTACCTGCTGCCTGTGAATGGCTTCTCAGAGGAGGAAGACGATGGGGAGCTGAGGGAGCGGCTGGGGGGCCTCCAGCTCTCCCTGGGTGCCTCTGCTCCCCTCCACCCTCATAAAGGGATCCCCCCTCTCCAAGACGTGCCAGTAGACGCCTTTGCCCCACACCGAAGCTCCTGCACACCCCCTCCCCAGCCACCCCCTGTCACTCCCCGGCCCCCAAGGCCTAACTGGCTGCTGACAGAACCCCTGACCCCAGAGGACCCTCGGCAGGGTCAGAGCCAGAGCCAGAGCCACAGCCAGAGCCAGGGCCCTGCCCAGAGCCACAGCTGCAGCCGGGGTCGAGGCAAGTCCCCCGGACGCAGGCGCTCCCCATCCCCAGCGCCTGTCCCCACCCCCAGCATGGCCAATGGGCGCTACCACAAGCCTCGGAAGGCCAGGCCCCCTCTGCCACGACCTGTGGATGAGCAGGCAGCCAAGGCGGGGGGCCGTGAAGGCCCCTCCGAGAATGGAACTGGCGGGACAGCCAGGGAGGCAGCCAAGAAGGCCCCTGGCGGGGAGCTGAGGACAGTCACGCTGTCCAAGATGAAGCAGTCCTTGGGTGAGTGCAGGTGGGACTAGGCCTGGCAGGTGGGGCTCTTGGGTGTGGGTGAGGTTTCTGGGCTTGGTTTTGGGGTACAACTAGGGGGCTTGGGCTTAGGAAAAGATTTGGATATGGGGGTCTATTTGGGAGGTTCTAGATTGGAGGGGGTGGGAACTAGA